TGTGTGTATGTGGTGTGCGTAGGTGTGTATAGGTGTGTGTAGATGTGTGTAGGTGTATGTGTAGGTGTGTGCACGTATAGGTATGCAAGAAGTTGATAACATTTAGTTACAACTAATGCTGAAACGAAATCCATGTGCATTCCTTCCACTAAGCAAATCTAAGCATACAATAGAATCAACAGCATGTCGATGATTCAATATTTGCAAATTGTAAGACGAACATTATCACAATGGATGATAAAATCTTTCATTATTCCAAAACACGTGTACGTACACGTTTACGTGAATTGTGCATGTATGTGCACGTCATAGACTGAATGCGTGTTAGTACGTGTGCTGAATCGAAAAGTCAAACCTCTAACAATAACAAAATCACTTGAATATCCACCATTTACACCCTCACCCATACACATACATATAGCCACCCATACACATACACACACACCTACACACGCACACACACATACACACACATACACACACACACACATGTGCACATGCATGCATGTCAGGTTAATGGAAGGAAAAATGGTTGGGTTTATAGAAGGAATAACTTACGAAGAGATATAGAATGAGAAGATTAAGAAAAGAATAAATGAAAGATGGTAGGAAAAGGACAACAAGAGTGTTCAGTAATTAACCAATCAGATACATAGACTCCGCCTTAAGGCGTGAAGCTGATCTATGAGAGGTTATTATTTGAGTTATGAGAGTACAAGTTAACAAAGAGAAACAGACAAGCATACAAAAAGTGATTATACAGGGACGCAGATAATGATAGAAGGAGACAGACATAGTAACACAGAAGCTTCACGACAGATGGCCTGCTGTTGCTACTGCTACTGCTACTGCTGCTGCCGTTGCGGTAACTGATTGTGGTATTACGGTGGCGTATCGGTGGTGCTGTGACTGGTTGGAAGAAAGGCGATCCTATTTTCTAGGTGCATTAACCTACGGGCTATTACTGATCTTGTTACTGTACTGCTATTTATACTGTGATATTATGAGTGGATTAGTTGGAGCTGAACAATTGCAAAAGTTATGGATGCATATGGCGCTAAATTCTATGCAGGTAAATTGGATATTACCTTATTTGTAATTATTAAATTAAACTATTTCATTTTGTAAATATTTATGAATGATTGAAATTTCATTCAGCCTTTTTTTCATCTCAGTCCCCAAAAATAACTGAGAATTTACGGGTAAATAAAACACGGGAATAATTTGATCATAATCTATGATCTTTGATGAATTATGAAAATTTTGATGATTTATGCAAAGTTATGCTATTTAAAATGTTCCAACCATATGATTATGAATTTCTATCTTCTTTTTTTCCCCCCAAAAAATCTTAACTTTAATATATTACTGAACAATATATTTTTGCAAAATTATTACTGTCAACAGGTTTTAAATAGGTCATCATTTATGTAGTATGAATCATTTTGCATATATAATTGTTAATTAATTATAAGGCATGTTAGTATATTTGCTTCTTAATGTGGTCAGTGGTAATCGCAATTGTCATTGTTATGTAGTAGCGATTTGAAAAAGATTATACTAGTTTGTTCAATCTTCACAGCTGTCTTCGATAATTTTGAGTCTTAATTTCACTTCAAATGTTACTGACCAAAATAATGGTCATTGTTCCGATAGGTGAAGATAGAGAAATAAGCTCCAATCATTTAAATGAGAAATTTGAGAATAATAGCTTAAATTACGCATAATGATGCTATATCCCATGAAGCAAAAATAAGCTATGAAAATAACTGCTATCTAAGGATGAAATGGATAGGTATCGAGAATGCTAATGAGCTTAACATAAAAGCTTTAGCTGAAACTCTCTAACATAAATATATCATTATCCCAATATTATGCTTTGTTATCATTAAATATCCCTACCTTTCCATTCTCTTTACACCTAATAGTTATAGTTAATGTGACAAAAATAGTAATTAATGGTGAGGATTTTATTTCCACTTATTAAAATCTATATTAAATCGTTTATTCTTCAAATTTTCTTGCTAAACAAATCAAATGACATTAATTAATATCAGTGATAAAGTTATCAATGATATTTATAACCTATTGTATTACTTATATTATCTGTTTGTTGTTTGATTAAGTTTGAAACTATTATAAGAATTAGTCCTTCATTTTCTTTATTCACATTATGATAACAAGCTTTAAAACTTTATCACTGATATGTAAGTATAAAAGTAGGTCCCTAATTGATAAAAAAAAAAGAAACTGCATAAATTAGCGTATGAGAGTTTCTAGTTTGAACTTTAATATACGAGGAAGTTTTAAAGCATATGAATTTAGGGTTATCCACAAGGGAATTCATTATATCCACCGTTACGACCCTTTACATTTGGTGCAATGCTACAATCAGAAGCATCAACATTTACTGGTGAACAGGTAAGGATTTTTTTTTTTTTAAAACTTTTCATTATTTGCTTTGTCGTTGATTTAGCTGAACAGGTAAGGTATTTTTTTTTAATTAGAAACTTTCATTATTCATTTCTTTAATTTTTCAATCTATGATAAAATTAGATTATATATAGGATTGATTATATGTATAAAATAGTTGTATATATATTTTATTTCAAACCAATTGCTTATTATATAATAGATTGAATAGATAGATGATAGTCTCGATAAATATGCATTAATGGCCATTAATCCCTATCTTATTAATTATCAACAAGCTTAAGCGTTTCATTTCCCTCAATTAGCAAATTGTTCAATATCATTTCCTATTATTTTTTAATTCCTTTACTCTAAAATACATATATTTCTCCTTTTAGTAAAGCTTAAAAGGATAACCATTAAATAATTCAAGTGTTTTTTAAAAAATAGAATTGGTAATTTATAGCATTTTTTGGCCTTTAAAAATTTCAAATTTATATTAGATTTTTTCACTCAATTATTTACCTTAGCTTCATTAATGTAATATCTAATTACAAAAATATAACATCTAATTTACAAAATTTCATATATTTCAAATTATCATCAAATTAAATTGATCAAGTTAATTTAAATGTGCAAATATTTTTTTTTTACTTGACGATTATATAGATCATATAAACATTTATCATATAGATAATCATATACTGAAACCATTTAATAATGATAGTAGGATAATGTTTTTATCAGATATAAATCGTATAAAGGTTAAAATTTAATTCAAACAAATGCAGTAGTCTGAACAGAAAAAGAAAATAATTGCAAAATTTTTAGAAGAAAGTTATTTCTCATAAAATCACAAAAGTTTTGATGTGAATAATAAAAGTAATCATTAAAATAAACCTTTGATAAACATTAGCCAAGATGTTAAAATTGGTAATATGTGACAAAATCATACTTCAATCATTCATTTTTATCCCCTATTCCAATTACATTATCAAACATTCTTATCAGTGATTACTAAACATTTCCATCTTTTGACCAAAAACAATGATGACATTTTTTTTCTATAAGCAATGGGTCATCTGTGTTAATTTATATCATTTTAAAGTAGGGAGAAAAAAAGTATTAATAATCTTTTGTTTTATGAAACCCTTCTCCCTCTCTCTCTCTCTCTCTTTCTTTTTCTCTCTTTCGTTCAGTTAATGTTGAAATTTTTTTTTTTCAGATTGTAAAAATTTGTGAGCAATTAGAAGATGCTGGTAACATTGAACGATTAGCTGCGTAAGTTATTTCATGAATTATTACAAGTAAATATTACGATAAAACTTATCATGATTATTTTATTTCCTTATCAAATGATGATAATAATGTTATTTTTGGATAATTGTAGTTTCTTATGGTCTATCTCACATCAACAACATACTGATGAAGTAACAACCATACTACGGAATCATGAATCGATACTTCGTGCTAGAGCATTAGTATGTTTTCATATGGGAAATTTCCAAGAGATGTATCGAATACTTGAATCACATAAATTCACCAATGGTTCACATAGCAAATTGCAAGCAATGTGGCAGGAAGCTCATTATCAAGAAGCAGAAAAATTAAGGGGAAGGTAAACTTTTTGAATTAAATTATTTATTAAACCAAAATCGAAGTTCTTCTCTCCCTTTTGTTTGTTTTCTTTTTGTTAAGTTTAAATTTCAACTTTTTAATTGCAATCGATTTGTTCAGTAAACCAAAGTTAGAAGTTTATTTCTTCTCTTCCTTTTTTGTTAAATTTAAATTTCAACTTTTTAATTGCAATCGATTTGTTCAGTAAACCAAAATAAAAGTCTATTTCTTTTCTTCCTTTTTTCTTTTGTTAAATTTAAATTTCAGTTTTTTAATTGAAATTGTTTGAAAAAAGTAAAAACAAATTAGGTTTACATCAAAGATATGTTACTAAAAGATATGAGAAGCCAAAAAAAAAGATAGTATACAATACTAGGAATGAAGCAATTCACTTACTTAAAATGCATTCAATTTTAAGGCCATTAGGACCGGTCGATAAATATCGAGTGAGAAAAAAATATCCAATGCCTCGAACAATTTGGGATGGTGAGCAAAAGACACATTGCTTTAAGGAGAGAACAAGGTCATCTTTTTTTTTTTTGAATTAAATCCAAAAAATATAATCAGAATTGATTTTCTTTTCTGAAAAGATTATTTCAAAAAATTTTTTGAATTTGTAATAAATTGCTTAATTTAAATGGTTCATTCTTTATTTTTATTAATGTTTAATCATAGCATAATAATTAACTTATTAAACAATTTTACACTTACATTTCAATCTTTTCACTAACAATAATAACAAATTTCTAATGTCACCAATGTCATCTCATTTGTAATTTTTTTTTTTAAATAAAATTATTTTGCATATATATTTTAGATCATTATTACGGGAATGGTATTTGCAAGACCCGTATCCAAATCCGAGTAAAAAAAAAGAATTAGCATCTAAAACGGGTTTAACTGCTATGCAAGTCGGTAATTGGTTCAAAAATCGGCGTCAACGTGATAGAGCTGCTGCTGCTAAAAATAAGTTCGTTCTTCATCCATTTAGCAAAAAATTTCAACGGAAAAAAAACAAAAAGCTAAATTAAAAGATTAAATTAAAAAAATTAATTAAGCTAAAAAACTTAAAACAACTGTATTTTTTTTTTTTGAAATCTGAAAAGAAGCAAAATGATAATCGTACATTTTTCATACTGATAATCAGTAATTATACCTATCGAAATTTATTCTGAAAATATGCAAGCAGTATGTTCACTTATGAGAGTAAAGAAATTTTTATGGAAAATAATATATCATGATTGATTGGGGGTTTTTTTTTTCGAAGTAACATTATTGTTATCATCATAAGCATAGCACAATTCATCTAATCATTATCATGGTCATTAAAAGTGATAACCAAAATTAAGACAATTTGTTATCAACTGCAATCATTTTTCTTATCACTATACACGAATCATCGTTATTATTATTCCTTGCCTTATAAATTTTAAGCAAAAAACCATTGTTATCGATAAATAATTTGAACTGCTAATCATCATATAGTCAAAATTTAACTTCTTGTCACATTAATTAATTAATTAATAAGTGCTAATTTATTTGAACAATTTCGGCTTGTCAAATCTATTTTTTATTGTGTTGTGCTTGCTAAAAATAAAAATGTTTTATTTCATCATCATATCATCTATCTTTTGCCATCCTATCATCTATTCCTTATCACTGTACAGTACCCTGAAACAGTATCAATGGTACTTTTCATTAATGTTGCAAAGAAGAGAATGTACAAAGGGAAGAGATTTTATTTATTATTTTTTTATATTTTTTCTTGAGATCAAAAATTATTTGTTTGAATATTTAGTCTTTCAATCTTATTTTAGGTATTATCTTTTCTCACTAACAATGATAAATTAAATCCAATTAAATTTATTCTTCCGTAATTATCAACAAATTGGACATTTTCCTGGATGGATTCATTTTCTGGAATTAATAACAAATATTTTACCTTTGTTAACATACTTTGTACAAGTAAGAAGAAGTAGGGGTATTTATTTTGTTCAATTTGACAATGCTCTTAAAGATGATCGGTACTCCTCGGTCGACACTCCTGAGAACTGGTTTCATCTTCCCGTCTCTTTTACATCTTACAGCAATTCCAATCAATCAACTAACATTATCTCCTATCTTCTTTCACATCCAACAACCATCATCCCTATTTCTCACCCCAAAAGTGCACCATCATCATAAAAACCTTGAACGCTACTTTACGCCAACTCTTAAGCTCTTATTAATCTATTTCTTTTCACTATCCTCTCATCTTTTATCATTCTCTAACATAGGGTAATGGAGAAGATGCTATCATTAGAGTATTAAAACGAAAAGGATAAAAATGCAGTAAGTCACCAATACGTTTATAGCAATACAAAATTACTCATTCTAACCATAGAAGATACCTTCAATGATACAAATTCAAGGTTTTCATCTTTCTTTAATATTCTTTTTCTACAATTATATCCTGAATAAATCATATCACATATCATATCATAAATCATATCACATATCATATCACTATCAAATAAGCAATTCAATTCAATATCTTACCTCTATATCTTATTGAGTATTTTCTATTAATTCCATAAATTATGCAAAATGATAAAATTTGCATGTTTTTTTTTACATTTCATTTGATGAATTTCTTAAAATTTCTTAAAATTGTATAAAATATAAAGGGTAAAAGTTTATTTAATTTAAGATAGCTTAATATTATTGTAAATTTTGTTCAATCAATTTTATTTATAAAGAAAATATATTAAGAAGAATGTAATATGATGCATTGTTAACTTATGTTAAACATTTTTTTCTCTTTTTTTTTTTTTTATTAAAATGAAAAGAGACTTACGAAAGCAATTGATTCAACGATTTTTTTTTTTTTGAAATGAAAAAAAAATTTCAAATGAAATTTAGTTCAAGAATTGTATTGCTAAAGAAAAAGAAGTGCTCAACTTCTATCATCTCATAAATATATTTTTTATTTTTCCAAACAATTCTAGTATCATACCAGTACCATACTAGTAAAATATCATAAACATGTTTAATCTTTTCAGGTGTTATATATGACACCTGAAATTATTCAATCTTTTCAAATGTTCAATCTTCTCTAGAAATTTTCAAATCTTCTCTTTTCAAATTCAACCTTCTTTGAAATGTTCAATCCTATTCAATCTTTTCAGGTATCATATATGAAATATCATACAATTACAGGTATAACGTATCATTTCAATGTAAATATGAAGAAATGAACTTAACATGTAATGATAGATAAAATTATAAAAATGAGCTAATTAAAATGATTTGATACCTTTCAAATGTTCAATTTAAACTATCTTATAAGGTTTAGCTTTATTCCCACATTTCTTCATTATTTACCTTAAATCTAATCTAGTAATCGATACTACCGGACGATATCTTTCATATCTTATTTGGGATCCAATCAAATGCTTCCTTTTCTTCTCTTTACCAGTAATTGTTCAGCCTCATTTTGTGTTGTCTTGCTCAAATGGATATATCGATTACCGTATCAATTACATATACATATCTATATGTGACGATTGCTTACGGTAATGACGAAGAAATTCTTAAAAAATTTTCCAATATTTACATTTCATTGCAATTAAAAAGATTGTATAGTAAGTATATATTGATCTATAACTTATAAGCTATTTGATATAACATGCATTAAATTTTAAATTTTAAGAATGAGAAAAGTGAGATTACTGGACATCTGGACATTGGATACTATACACTGGACATTTTACATCTTATAAAGGACTGCAATTTGCAATGAGTTAGAATACGATATATATTACCACTGCAACTTTTCTTTCTATCATATCATATCTCATCAATTCTTCAATTGTTACGAAAAGAACAGAAGAAAAAATAATATTCATAAACTTCTATTGCATGCTATTTTTTCGAGAGCAAATTACTATACCAATAATGCTACCTGCATGCTGCATGCTGTTATATTGGCATGCTGCATGCAAATTTTAACTTAAATTTACATTAGACTATGAATTAGCCTTTTTTAGTGATGTTAAAGCGGCATGATGAGAGATGACAATTATTGCTAAAAGTGACCATCAATTACAGTAAGAAAAGAAGATAAAGGTTAAAAAGGAGGATAAGGAAAAAGACTTTAAAAGGTGTTTGCAAAAAAAAAAAAAAAAGCTCTTTTACAATTAAACATTCATTGAATTTGCTGATAAATTACTCTTTCCTCTTTCTCTCCCATCCTCCATCTCTTCCCCTCTGCATATTCAGCCAATTAAGGCGTCAATGACCGTATAATGTTTGAAGACAAAGACAAAACTATATTATCTATAGAAAAGAATGCAAATAATAATGGGGAGAGGGAGGGAGAGGGGAGAATGAATGTGTCACATTATTTATGAGTTGTCACATATTATCATTTCATTCACACCTCTTTCTTAATTAAATTCATTTTGAAGAAGTTTTACGAAGAAATTATTTCTAGGGCTTTTAACAAATTATCTTAAATTATTATGTGAAAATTTTGCCGATATATAGATAGTAATATAAATAAATGAATACATTACATATATACAACATCTATTTATCTAAAAATTAGTCATATGGATAGAAAGAGAGAGAGAGAGAGAGAGGAAAGGAGAGGAAGAGGGAGAGATAAGATAATTGACATTAATCTGATCATAAAGCATAAATTATCTCAGGAAAGAATTGAGAAGAAAATTTAAATAAGCAAGCACTTTTGTCATTACATATTAAAATACCTTTCACATAAGCGCTTTTGTCATTGCATATCAAAATATCTTTTACATAAGCGCTTTTGTCATTACATATCAAAATATCTTTCACATAAGCGCTTTTGTCATTACATATCAAAATATCTTCTATATTATCATTGTGAATATTGTATAGAGAATGACTTGAAAAATGTTGAATAGTGTGATAAGAAGAACAAAATTGATAAAAAAAACGATAATATCCTTTTTAAAAAGTTGAAAAAGAAAAAATAAATAAATTTATCATCATAATGATTATTGCAACTGTTATCATGAT